GAGTACCCCCCCCCCCCCCTTCGCTACAACCCATGTCTAAGCAAAAGCTTGTCGAGGAGCGAGGGGAAGAAGGGAGAGTAGATCGTTTTAAACCAATAGAAAACATGTCCCTCCGGGTCAAGGGCGCACAAAAAAAAAAATCCAACACCTAGACTACCGTAATCATCGGGGTCTTGGCGCATGTTGGGGTCTCGGCACATATCGGGGTCTTGGCGCAGGGTGTGCGGAAAAAAAGCTGGTTCCGAATGATTTGTTAGATTATCGCACAGGTATCGTCGTCTCCGCACAGTGTGCGGAGACGTCGATATATGCGGTGAGGTTTGGCGGTAAGCGATACCCTTTCACCAGCATGTGCTGGAAATTCTTGATAGTGTGGGAGCTTGAATCGCGTGCTCCACTGCTACTGCTGCCCTTGGCACCATGACGATGTTCAAAAATGTGGTATTTGTACTCTTTGTTCTCTTCTTTTCGTTCTGAAGAATCAAGATCGGCAAATCGGCAAACGGCATCCACTCAACAGTTCTAATCGCAGATGAAACCAAAAACGAAGTAAAAACCCACACCAAACTACCACTACGAGCCACCAACGTGCTACTACTGTATTTCATAGGCGGGTTGAACTCTACTTCGTGCCCGCGCCCCTACCATCGCAAAAACATCCAATCTCACTGGCAATCCCAAAGAACTATGCTTCAAAGTTCGACTACTTCTCCTTTGGCGCCCCCGCCTCCCTGCCCCTCCACGACTTCCACGTCGCCGTCGCTCTCATCAGCGACGTAGGGCAGCAGCTTCCCCTCGACCTACTTCTGAGCAGCCGTGATGGGGTTGGGGTCGAACCTCCCTGGTACCTTCGGCAGCTTGAGCGGCGGGAGAGTCACGTCGGGGTGCTCAGCGAGCCGCACGGCGTGCTGCTCCCCGAGAAGGTCGCGGTAGTCTTCCCCGAAGTTGTGCTCGCACCAGGCGTGGTCTTCGCTGCCGTCGAGCGCGAGCGTGAGACGGCAGATCATGAAGCAAGTCTTCACCGTCTCGGGGGTGATGGACTCCCACGCTTCCTTGCACCACGTAGAGACGACGCCACGCTCCGGTGGCTTCAGCTTCCCCGACCGGGCGTCTGCGACCGCCGACGCGCTGTAGGCGGTGTACTTGCCCCGCAGCAGCCGCTTCATCTGCTTGTTGAGCAAACGGTCGAGCGGTTGGAGCAAGAGCGTCATCCCGCCTGGGATGAAGATGATGATGGTATTGGCGTCTCTCTTGAGGGCGGCGATGAAACCCTCGTCCTTGTGGCACTTGAAGTCGTCCAGCACCAGGATGCACGGGCGCTGCTGGACGATGCTGCCGTTGTTGGGACGGAGCTTCCAGCTGCCCGAGATCCACCCGTTGCACTCCCGCTGGTCACTCCAGCTCTTCCCCTGCACGCCGAAGGACATGCCGTTGGCAGGGTGGGCGTGCTTGGCACGGTTCGCAGGATGGATCTCCCACGCGACGGAGTTCTTCCGCGGCAGGGTGCTCTTGCCCTTGCCGCTCACGGTCGGGGGGATGAACGGCGTGCCCTTGAAGATGATGCGCGGCGAAACCTTTTTGCCGTCCGCCATGACAGCCAGAACGAGCGTGAAGCGTTCCTTCTCTTTGCCTGAGGGGAGGGGGAAAAAATCAACGCGAGGGGAGGGGGGTGGGGGAGTAGAGTGTTGAATATTTCTGCGAGGACAGCGGTGTGTGGTTGATACAATGGATGCAAACGGTACCGGACGTTTCGAAAACTAAGTTGGTTGATACAATGGATGCGATGAAACAGGAAGTGTAGAATAATCCCGCAGAAACAGGTAGCAACCCTCCTGTGTCTACCGATAGAGCTACATCGCACCGTGTACCGGCACGCAAAAAATAAATATGTGTCATAAAAAATTGTCCAACGACAAAAAATCCGCACACCACCCAAAATTTTGACAAAATATTAGCTCGCCCTCACCTCCTGTGCTGATGCGATCATCCTTCGCACCGGTCTTCTATAGAGTGGTCTCCACCGGCATCACGTGCTGGATTGTCGTCTGGTCCATGTTGCCGAGTTCCTCGAAAACCTCCGCCTCCACAGACGCCAGCTGCTCGGAAGTCAGATCCTCCCCTTTGATGGGGCTCTCGTCAGGTGCCGGCGGGTGGCGCCGAGCGTAGATCTCACCGGCGCGCTTTACGAGAGCCTCGCGCAGCTTCATCACCGTCGCCCACGCCATACCCTCGTCCCCCTTCGGCAGTTTCTGGCCCACGCTGGTACGCCGGCGGATGCTGAACCCATTCCGCTTGCGGAACCGTTGGTACCAGGAGTTGAATTTGACCTTGAAAGCCAGCGCCTCCTCCGGTTTCGCGTTCGCCGGCATCCCGCCAAGGGCGTCAGGCTTCAGCTCGAGCAGCTTGTTCATCACCTCCCGATTACCACAACCGCGGTGCTACTTGCGCTGCTCGTTGGTGTAGTCCACACGGGCTTGTCCGGCGTCGACTGTCGAAGCTTTCCTGGAAACCTGCTTGGCCTTCGAAAGCTTCGGGTTGGCGCTGACCTTCTCCCTGAGCTGCTCCTCCTGCTTCAGCCACTCGATGATACGCTTCCGAGGCACCTGGAGAACTTTCGCCGCNGGGGTCGTTGGCGGCTAGCATCTCATCGATAGCCTCGCCGATTGCCTTCGGGTCCGCAGCGGCAGCTCCCTGATCCACAGAGGAAGGACCGCCAGCACTAGCCTGTGAGGCCTGTGAGGCCTGTGAGGCGTCGGCAGGTCCCGCGCTTGCACCCTCCGAAATCGTGGCTGCGCGTTGCGTGTGGTCGAGCCCGCAGCTCCGTCCCGGGCATTTTCCCGANCGTAGGCCGCCGCGTTCAGCTTGAACCGGATGGGGTAGCTCCCTTCCCCTCCCACTGCTCCTGACCGCTCGATCGGGAAGTTGGGCTCCGGGTACGCGCGTTTGCCGTTGCTGTTTTTGACGGGGTCGTTGGCGGCTAGCATCTCATCGATAGCCTCGCCGGTTGCCTTCGGGTCCGCAGCGGCAGCTCCCTGATCCGCAGAGGAAGGACCGCCAGCACTAGCCTGTGAGGCCTGTGAGGCCTGTGAGGCGTCGGCAGGTNGATGATACGCTTCCAGGTACCTGGAGAACTTTCGCCGCGCCGTTGTTTCCCACCGGTTGACCGTCGCACGGGCAGATCTCCCGTGCGTAGGCCGCCGCGTTCAGCTTGAACCGGATGGGGTAGCTCCCTTCCCCTCCCACTGCTCCTGACCGCTCGATCGGGAAGTTGGGCTCCGGGTACGCGCGTTTGCCGTTGCTGTTTTTGACGGGGTCGTTGGCGGCTAGCATCTCATCGATAGCCTCGCCGATTGCCTTCGGGTCCGCAGCGGCAGCTCCCTGATCCACAGAGGAAGGACCGCCAGCACTAGCCTGTGAGGCCTGTGAGGCCTGTGAGGCGTCGGCAGGTCCCGCGCTTGCACCCTCCGAAATCGTGGCTGCGCGTTGCGTGTGGTCGAGCCCGCAGCTCCGTCCCGGGCATTTTCCCGATTTTCCGCCGGTATTTCTCCGCCACGGGACTGTTGTGGTGGCAACTCCCCGAGACTCGTTTGTGTGTGCAGCTACTAGCTTGTCTGTTGGTTGTGTTGTGATCGTGCTGCAGCAATACCATACACGCGAAGTGCTGCTATCCCCTGTGGTTTTCAATGTTAGGATCGCACATATCGGGATCTTGGCACAGGGGTGTGCGTTGTTTCATAGAACCAAAATATTTACTGCATTTCCGCACAGGTATCGCGAACTTGGCACATATCGGGGTGTTCGCACACCTGTGCGAAAAAAGGCTGAAGTTCGAAACATTTAAAAAAGCGACCGCACAGTGTGCCAAGACCCCGATGATTACGGTAAACCCCAAAACTTTTTTGGGGGCCCTCCGGGAGGGGGGGGGGG